AAGTAAAAGAGTAGATGCACATGGAGGTGGTCTGAGTCGGTAACCTGTCCTTGCCTTCCTCGTGTAAGACTGGGTTAAATGAGAACAATACCCGAACTATCGCTGCTGGAAAGGTTCGTGATACGGCTACGTCAAGGCTTCTATTCAGGAGTTTACCTGCGTGTCTCCTCGAAAGGGCACTTTGAGAAATAAGGTTTTATTTTCCACAGTATGTGTTGTGGGCTTTGTGGACTAATTTCCTTGTAACTTTGAACATAATTTTAACCTTTTACACTTTAACCCCCTCCCATATAAATGTAATGGTCTATGGAGAATTTATTGAAAGTATACCTATGCTCGCCAATTCCTCTTCGGATTTCTGTGATGGGAAATTTTGCGACCTTAAATCAATATTCCAAATTTTCTGTGGCTGGGAACCTCAAAGCTGTTTATTTGCTGCTCCCTATTTCTTAAAATACGATTTATTGGCAAATATGGCCCCGTTTGGATCTGAACGACATACCAGCCTTTACGTGTGTCTGTGTGTGTCTGTGAACTTATTCGTAGACAGTGTCAAACCATTCAGTAAGTGAGTAAACTTCCTTTTACAAGCTCGTCCCTGAAGTTGCAAAAGTTGACGCAATGGCAGGTTTAAAGTTCCTCTTTTTGCCGTAATTCTTTCATCCCGAATTCGCTGAACACTTGACAGATTAGTCGTACTTTTTGCGTTTGACCGATACTCAGAAAATGGTCGGCTTCAAAACAGAACGTTCTCGCCGGAATTCCGATCTGAAAACGCAGCCGTCATGATTAAATCGGAAAGTCCCTGCAGTTACCGGCCAGTATTGTGATCACGAAATTATCAAGCGAAAGAAAGTAAATCAATATTCCGAGTTTCCTGTGGTTGGGGACCTCAAAGCTGTTTATTTGCTGCTACCTATTTCTTCAAATACGACTTAGTGGCAAACATGGCACTGAAAACGCAGCATGATCGTAGTTTCTGAAGAAAAGTGGATAACTTGTTGGAAGAGCTTTAAATCGAGTCCCAAAGCACAAAGGGCTGGTTGCGTTCCGTGATGCAATCAGTAAGTGCCCTCACTATCACTTTTTGTACACCCGATTGCGACCGTGGCTCAAAGGCTAGAACGTCAGACTTCTTATCGACAGGGGTTCTAGCTTCAGGTGGAGAACCATTTGGGTTTGGGTGTGACTGGCTGATGACAACAAGTGAGCTATAAATGACCATTGCATTCTTCTTTGCCTCTGTATGAAATGTTATATTGCCTAAAATACTAGCCGCGGTGCGGCTGTTGGTTGGGCTTGTGAATGAACCCAAGGCCAAACGGGGTGAGTGACTCCCATAACCGATCGGGAGCGTCCATCCACCCATATGACGTAAGTTTTCTCATCCGCCTTTCGTTACTTTTTTTCTGAGTTTGCACGAATTAATTGTACTCCATCCAGACAGTTTGGCGACTGTTTCCAACTACTTCAACCGTACATTCCATAGTAAGCTGAACGCAGAAAGCATGACTTGCGCATCTATAGTTCTGCTAGACTCGCGCTGCATCTATCGCGCTGTCTTTTTCTGCCATTCTTGACCCCCCGATGTCAAGATACGGTCGATAAGTTCGAAGGTGGGATTGAGCGCATTGGTCGACAAATCTAAACGGTCCGTTTGCACGGACCCCTCACGCCTGGTTCCAGTACAGTAAACGAAGATTTCACTCGAGAGCATAGAGGCGGCTCGGATCGCAAATCGAGGGGAGTGACCTAAGGGCTAAACAAGAAAGGGATTATTTTAGCCTGAATCTTCGTCCTCGCAGGAGGACGGAGCTAGCCTGTCAGTTGGCAGCTGTCAAAATCACGGCTTTTAGTGCAACGTGATGAGTTCGGACGCATGGGCTCCTTTATAGGAGGGATATGCGTGGAGGCAGTCGACCTCATTCTATTTTTTATTCTCGGACACCCGTCCACTGTCTGAGCCGGTAAGTTGTCCAATGCGGGAATTAGTGCAGTGACCGACAGGTTTAGATAGGTCATCTGTGTGTGCCTCGGACTCGACTCGTTATCTCAAACACAAAGTGCCGGAATTTCGCATCAAGGGAAGGAGTTTGCAACACATCTGGCCTTGCAGGAAACATTGAAATGGCGGTGTGTTTCCCTTTTGCAGGTCATCAGACCTACCGGGTAAGCATGGAACCACTGACACAGAGAATAGAACACAGGGCACCCTACTCTGCAGAATGTCGCGTTCAGCCAACGCCTCGCTATCCCGTCCGCTTTACTTGGTACTTCAAGGGGCGTCACCACTCACAGGGCGAACGACTGAACATTCCTGAATTGAACGAATACACATCCGGCGAATACACCTGTCAGGCAGCCCTTGAACAGCCTTCGGGAAGCCCTCTGCTTGTCAATGCCACCAGGACCGTCTACTACCGCAGCACTCCGCCAACTGATTCAGGTTACCTTCTTTACTGGTTACCTTGTAACAGTATAAAGATGCCAAAACAAGCGAACATGCGTGTCCCAGGAAGCAATTGAGAAGAAGA